GGAGCGCAGTGCCACGCTCAGACTTCCTTTCCTCCTTGTCCTGGGGATTCCTGTGGCCTCCTTTTCCTGCCCTACATCGGGTGTTTCTTTTCTGTTTTTTCTTCATCTGGTGTTTCTTGCTTCCTCTTTTTTTAGCTGTCTCATGGATTCATGGAAAAAGATATACAACAGCTAAAAGTTTTTGAGAACTTGAATGTCTGAAAATGTCTTTATTCTACCTCCACATTTGGTGGTTTGGCTATATAGTTGTAATCTTTTCTTGTGTGTGGCATTGGAGATTAAAACCAGGGCGTCCCACTTGTCAGACAAGGGCTATATCATACCCGCCAGGCTTTTTAGTTTTATTTCTGAGACAAAGTCTTGCTACTTGCCCGGGCTGGCCTAGAACTTGTGATTCTCCTGACTGAGCCTTCCAAATAAATGGTATCACAAGTGTGAACTACCCTACCATACTTGGCAGATAGATATTTCTATAATAGAAATAATTTTCCTAGCCAGGTGTGGGGGCACACACCTGTAATCCCAGCATTCAGGAAGCTGAGGCAGGAGGATCACTGGGAGTTTGACACCAGCCTGGGCTATAAAGTGAACTCAAGACAGCCTGAACTGTATAGTGAGACCCAAAGTTTGAGAACTTTTCCTTCAAAGTCTGAGAACTTTGGTTTTTGTTTTTGCGGAAATGGGCATTGAACTCAGGCCCTTGCGCTTGCCAGGCAAGTGCTTTTTCTACTGAGCCATCTCCCCGGCCCCTTGTTCTTTTATATTGTAGCATCCAGTGCTTCTGCGGAGAAGCCCAGACCTATTCTCACTCTTTTTTTTTTTTTTTTTTCCTATTCTCACTCTTAGTCCTTTGAATGCAATCTTTTTTTTCCTCACTAGACTCTGTGTCTTTTCTCAGGAGGTTATCCTAGCATTCTAAAATGGTAGAATTTTCTTTCTTTCCTTTTTCGGTATGGTACCAAAAAAGGAAAGGAAAGAAACAGACCAAAAGCGTTTTTTTTTCTTCTTTTTTTGTATTAGGAATTGAACTCATGACCTTGTGCTTGCCAGGCAGGCATTGTGCCACTGAGCTCTATCCCCGCTCAAAAGTTTTTTTTTATGATGGTGTGTGTTAATGGAATTCTGATCATCTAATGAGCATCGAATGAGCCAATTCAGCCTGGAAGTTTAGTTCCTATAGTTTCTTTTCTCTTTGTTTTCTTTTTGAAACAGGGTCTTGCTGTGCAGCTCAGCTGGCCTTAAACTCGCTTTGTAGGGCAGGCTGGCCTCTAACTCAGAGATCCTCCCAGCTCAGGCTTCCAAATGCTAGGATTACAGGTGTGCACCACCATGCCCAGTTTCAGTGGCTGGCTCAGCTCGGCATGGGGCTGGCATGGCATGCGGTACCGGGGATCAAACCCAGGTCCTTGCGCTTGTCAGGCAGGTGCTTACACCACTGAACTATCTCCCCAGCTTGGCACTTACGTTCTAATGGGTACTTCTCATTTCTGCCTGAGCCTTTTAGACTGGCTTTCTACTCTTTAACCTTTCCTATTTATCAAGTCTCTGAAAATGTCTCAATTTTATCTTCTGTGCCTTCTATCAGCAAAGAGAGACAGAAGAGAGAGGAAACAGACAGACAGGCTGAGGTCTCAGTGAGTCACTTGGTTGAGCAGGCTAGGCTTGACCCCTCAATCATCCTGCCTCAGCCTCCCAGAGTGGGAGCATGTGTGATCCACCACACCCAGGTCACAATCTGGATCTTGATGACTGCATCTCTGCAGTTTAATTTAAGTATTTCTTTAAATTGCTCAGTTAGGGCCGGGGAGATGGCTCAGTAGAGTAAGTGCTTCCATGGAAAGCGCAAGGGCCTGAGTTCAAGCCCTGGTTCCTTAAAAAATTAAATAAATAAATAAATAAATCGCTCAGTTAGATCTAGAAATCTGATCAGATTCAGATTTGATCTGGGGAGATTACTCTTTCACTGAGATCATTTGTCCTTCCTTTTGGACACAGGCGATATCTGGGCCCTTCTTTGTGTGACATGAGACTTTTACAGCTTTCTGTTCTTGTTTCATGAGTGTGTTGTCTTCAGCAATCTTTTTTTTTTTTTTTTTCATTTATGTATTTGGTACAAGGTCTCACTACGCAGCTCGGACTTGCAGTGAGCCTCTTGTTTTCAGGCTCTCCAGAGCTGGGATTACAGGCATGTCTTCAGTGATCTTGCTTAGGATAGTAATGCTAGTTTTCTGTGAAGTAGTCTTCTCTTTGAATTTATTTCCTCTTAGGTCTTGGTTATTCTTTTTCTTATTTATTTTGGCTTCTTTCTTCCATGTTCATAGCTCTGGCCACAAGTCTGCTAGTCCTTAGCAACCTACTCTGTGTATTTATTTGCAGTTCTGGGGATTGAACCCAGGGAGAGCTACAGTTCCAGCCCTTTCTTTTTATTTATTATTATTATTCTGGGTTATTTTTTTTAACATGGGGTCTCTCTACATTGCCCAGGCTGGCTTCAAACTTGTGATCCTCCTTCCTCAGCCTCCCAAGTATCTGGGAATCACATACATAGGCCACCATGCCCATTTATCCACTTGTATTTAAGAGGAGGGTGACACTGGAGCTGTTTGGAAACTCTGCCCATGAGTAAGATTTGGCAGTTTGGGCCCCACTAGAGCCCCACTGAAAATGGTCTGGTTGGACTGTTGACTGGTGGCCATCCGTGTGAGCGTGGAAGTCTTTCCTCCCAGCCTTGTAGTCTGCTCCCCCAGACTCTCCTGTCTTCTGCTTGCAGAGAAATGATCTGGTTCTTGGTGTCCAGGAGTCATAGTGGAAGAGCACTGGGTATAGGGAGAGTCTCATATGTGACGTGCCCACTTGCACTCAGCCCTTCTGCCTGCAGGCTGGCGTCCCCACCCCCTGGGCCTGCTGTCCTCTGTTTACCCTTTCCAGAGACTCAGCCTCTAGACTTGGAGCAGGAGTGGAAAGGGTGGTCACCCAGCTGCGTGGAACTTGAGGGAAACCTGCCTGCTTCCTAACAGACTGTGCGGCGATCCTCCCTATTGACTTTTCCTTCCAGCCTCACTTCTGGGGGAGAGCTGGGACAGCATTCGTTCATTTTCAGAATGTACCTTGTAAATTGGATGGTTTTAGGGCTTCCCCCAGAGCTGGCTCGAGAAGATGCTTCCCTCTGAGTCTTTTCTTATTTGTTCATTTGCTTTCCTGCTCCAAAACATGGAATATTTTGCCTTCTTCCCTGTCTTGCACATCCCTTAAGGTTTCCACTTCTACAAAAGAAATGCATTTGAGGAGAGGCAGAAGTAGGTGCGTGTGTTCCTGCTGGCATCAAAATGTAGCCATCAGCTTTATAGATAAGGAAGTTGGAGCTTAGCAGGATGAAGTGACTTGTCTGAAGACAGTTTATCAGTGGCAGGGTTGATGCTCACCCCATAAGGTGCTCTTGGGCCTGGAGGTCAAGGACACAGGTGTCCCAGAGCCATGGCATGCTTCTGTTGGCAGGGCCTTTGGTGAGCAGCTGGTCCAACCCCCTCATTTCTGAGTGAGAAAGAGGAGGCCCAGCACGGAGGAAGGGCGCTCCCAGGATGAGAAACACTCCGTGCCACACCGCCCCTCTCTGTGACACCCTTCAGTCAGTCATCGAATCAGCAGATGTTTGCTGAGCACCATCTGTGCACCAAGTCCTGGGCTCGGCGTGAAACATAGTCCTTGGCGACAGGGGCTGTCCCCTTGCTTCCTGCTGGCTTCCAGGCAGCTGTGGTGCAGGTGCTGAGGAAGTGGGTGGGAACAACAGTTATCACTCATCTAGTACTTTCTGCCTGCTGAGCACTGTGCTGATTACTTTTCATGTTTTGGTGTTTATCTCTGTAGTTGAAGAACTTCAGCCACCAGGGCTGGAACTTGCAGCCAGATAGCTCAGAGTTCTGAGCTGAGAACCGTCATTCCCGGAGGAAGAAGATAAAGGAGAACAGACAGCAGCTTGGGTGGGAGGGATGGAGGAGGCGGCCTGTGTGAGCTGCAGGGTAGCCATTGAGCTAACTGAACTGCCTTCCTCTTCCTGCAGTGTTCGGTGGGCCCCTCCTCTGATAAAGCCTTGACCTTCATGAAGGACCATTTCCTGATGGATGAGCCAGTGGTGGAGACACCGCTGCTGGTGAAGTCTGGTGTGGAGTACACACGGCTCGCAGTGGAGACAGCTGAGGGCCTTGACGGACACAGCCATGTGGTTATGTACCTGGGCACCTGTGAGTGAGGGGCTCCAGGATGTCCTGCACAGGACTGGCATGGGGCTGCATCCCAGCAGGGGAGGGAAACCTTTGAGATCAGACACTTGTTCACTTGTTCAGCAAGTGTTTACTGCACCGTGCCTTTCTTCTTTCTAGAAACACAGCAGGGGAGGAAGACAGTGCAGGTTCTGTCCTTCTGGGGCTTTCAGCTTTGTGGGGTTTGGTGGGAAGTATTTGGTGGTTTTAACAAGAGCAGTATGGACTTTAAGCCATGTAAGGGTGAGGAGCGAGTGGGTAGAGGGGAGCTGAAGGGAGGACGGTAGAACTCACTCCTTGGGGCTGGTGAGATGGCTCAGTGGTCTAAAGCACCTACTTTTTTTTTTTTAATTTTTATTTATTTATTTATTTATTTATTTATTTATTTATGTATTTTGTGTGTGTGTGGCCAGTTCAGCC